CACCGACCACCACCCACCGACTGACCGACCGACCGAAGACCTACCGACCTACTACCGACCTACCGACCTACCGACCTACCGACCTACCGACCTACCGACCTACCTACCCACCGACCCACCGACCTACCGACCCACCTACCCACCTACGTACCCGTCCATTTATCCATCTATCTGTCTGTCTATCTATCTAGATACCTACCGATCTATGTATCTCTGGCACATACAAATATGTATGCACAGGCAAACATACATACATATACATATACCTATGCATATATATATATACACACATATCTATGTGTATACATATATATATATATACACACATAATATAGAGGTATGTTGGACCAAAGGTGATTGGGACCGAGGAGGAATAGCGGTGCAGACACTCAGGTAGCATTGCTGCATCCCCATCCCCCGGATCCCCTCCAGTGCTCTGGTTCTTGCAGTAGTTGTTCTATAGAGTTTTCAGTATCATAACCCCAGTTAGGATCCCTTCTAAACCACTGCTAACTCTACTCTACCCTGAACCCTGAACCCTACACCCTAAACCTTAAACCCTGAACCCTATACCAGTTTAGGGGAAGTCCCCCGACTCCCCCACCCTCCGCCTCGGGAAAACAAGCTGTTCCGTTCCAGGTCCCTGTAGAACGGATACACCACGGCCTCAGAGGGCCTGGCTTGGGTTTACAAGATTAGGGCTTTAGGGCTTGGGGCTTCAGGGCTTGGGGCTTTAGGGTTTAGGGGCTTAGGGTGTAAGGCTTGAGGGCTTCAGGGCTTTGTTCCGGGCTTTAGGGTTTAGGGTTTAAGGTGTAGGATTTCAGGGTTAGGGTTCCATGGAATCTTTTGGGGATTCGTAAAGCATAGTGTTAAGGCTTTGGGGCTTAGGGTTTAGCGGTCAGCCTGTGGAGTTCATGGGATCAGTTGGATCGGATTGTGTAGGGCCTAGTCGGAGTTTAGGGTTCTGTGAGGTATGATCCGGCTTTTGCAGATTTTGCAGGGTCTTTTGAAGCCTTGCTAAGCTCTTGGTAGAGTTCCATATTCCATAGGTGTTTACTGGGTGTTGGGATCTTGGGGCTAATTATGATGGTTAAGTTTACAACGAGGTGGTACAAGGGCTGAAGTGATTTACATGTTTTGTTGCAGGTGGAGCTGCAGGGCTGCATGGGATTTAGGGCTCTTGGAAAACTTAGGTTGGAGGCTTCGCGATTGGTTGAAAGAGGTTCATGACTGTCTGGCATGTTTTTTTTGTATTTTAACCTAGCCCTCTACCCAAAAGCAGTCTAATAGTTGAGGCGCTCGAGACTAACATTTCTGTTCAACAGGAACCCTACGGATGTTCGGATGGGATTTGGAGAACAAGCTCTACTTAAGTTTAGGCAAGCCTGCTGCTACAGAGCTAAGCTATATTTCTGTTCAGGGCTTATGCAGATGAAACGCCGTCTTGGTGATGGCACGCTGCTATTGGGCTTAACCTACTTGCCATCTATAGGTTCAACAGACACTCTGGCCTTGTACGCTTCTTTGTCGGCATGCATCTGTGTTTATATGCATAAGATCTTACATGTATGCATATCCACATACATATGTAACCATGTATGTAGGCACGTATGCATGTATGCGTGGATGCATGGAGGCAGAGATGCATGGATGCATTGGATGCATTTTGTAGACATGTATGTGGACTAGGTATGTACAACACCCAAACACAAAACATATCAGGGGCCTATAGCCCTACTGTAAGCCCCATAACCTGAACCCTAAACCCTGTATGGACGCTACAAGATCCTGGCCCCAACACCAAAAGAAACAGAAAGACACACACACACACACACGTCGTGCCTTGGAGAGCTATCCTCGTCTGCGGGGGCGCTGACGCGGCTCGGGGTCACAGCGAAGGGCAGCACCGAGCCATCCTTCTTGGGAATACTGTCGGGGCCTGAATACTCAGAGTAGGTTTAGGGGTACATTCTACTCTAATTATAATAAGGAACCCCACAATGGTATTGGTAATTATCTTGGCCATCTGGGGCTCAGTACTTAGGGATCTAGGCCTTGGGGTTTCGTACAACGGCTCGGACAAGTCGTGTAAAATGCACCAGGATACGAATAACTAGCGCCAAAGGGATCTTCTGGGAGGATTCAGCTGGGTCATATCACTGCTCGACAGGATGCAACCGATACGTGACGGCGTTGGTATCACCACCAACTATTCCGACCCCCACTTTCTGGTTTCATTGGCTTTGCCTTCATCTGTAAAGTGAGAAAAACCCGACGGCACTAGGCTTTGGAGTGATGGCCAGACCCCTAAACCCTAAACCCTAAACCGCTTAGACTTGGATCTAATCCCAGCCCTTGGGTTTACCAGGTCCCCCTGGCCTGTGCTCTGAAAAGGGCGGAATTCTGGCCCCTTGATGGCAGCTAATGTAGGAGCCTTAAGAATTAGAATAGGGTTCTGGGGTTCTTTATAATATAATTATAATAATAAGGAACCCCCCCAAATAAAATAGCTAGTTCTTTAGGCTTCTACATGATTTGGGGCATGATTGAGCGTAGTCTCCCAGGCCCAACATCTGCCCCCCATGATAATCTGAATCCCTGCCCTTAGGGCTTACGGTTTAGGGCCTTGATTTAGGGTTTAGGGTTTAGGGTTTAGGATTTTGGGGCCCATGCGTCATGTACCCCTCTTTCAGATCACCGGGAGGATCCGGGTGGATGGAGGGTCCAAGGCCTAGGCAGTCGGCGTTGAATCTGGTCACAGTGTTCCAACCGGGTAGGGGTTTAGGGTTTAGGGTTTAGGGTTTAGGGTTTAGGGTTCAGGGTTTAGGGTTCAGGGTTTAAAGTTTAGGGTTTAGGGTTTAGGGTTGAGGGTTTAGGGTATAGAACCTCATAAGACCCCATGGAACTCACATAGAAGCCCTACAGAACCCTTAGAACCCCAACAACCCCAAGCCCAAAACCCTCCAAACCTGAACTCTACGTTGGTATACATGGGTTACCTTGCTGTTGCGCTGTAGGATCCGAACCAGAAACTTCGCTAACCTAAAAAGCGGAACTGCACTGCAGACCCTTTAAACCCTATAAGCCCTAAACCCAAGGCTCCCCCCAACCCACGGCAACTTGGGGTTGAGGTTTCAGGGTTTAGGGTTGAGGGTTTAGGGTTTAGGGTTAAGTGGGGGCAACCTTATGGAATCCTTAAACAAGGAGGATGGACCGGGCGCGTCTGAAGCACACGTTGGCGCGGGTTGCAGCGATGATGATCTTACCATTGGTCCGTGCGAACCCGAACGAGCTCCGGCCCGTTTCAGCTGAGGTCTAAGGCTGTCAAAATACTTCACCCAACCTTCGAAGCTGACACTCGACCGAGGTGTCGTCGAGGCGAGCAACCTCCCTGCTGGCTTTCGGGATGCTGGCAATGCCTAGGATACACATGAAAATAGAGTAGTGCCACCCCCTAGAGATATAACCCTTATGCACAATCGGCCGATCGACGACGAAACTTGCTCCTCGGTGAAACCTGGTGCTGCTGTCTGATGCTGTCTGTTGTGTGTGTGTGTGTGTGCTCTGGTGTGCCTGGTCGGCTGCTGTGTGATGCCGTGTGATGCTGTGCTGTGCTGTGTTGTGCTGTGTTGCATTGTGTTCCTAGATGTTCCTAGGCTGTGCCCCACTCAGGCTGGCCGTGCTTGTCATCGTCCCCCCACTCAGGCGGGCCGCCGTGCATGTCATCGTCCGTCAGCGGGTCATCATCTCTGTCGTCGCGCTTCTTCGGCTTCTTCGAGAAGAGGATGAGGATCTCCCTCAGGTGGCGAGCCCGACGTCTGACAGCCCGAGCATGTCTGCGGTTCCGCATCACCCGCTTGCAGCCAACCTTCATCCAGAACCATGGCATCTCGAAGCGAAAGCCAAACTGATCCCAGATGAACTGGCCAAGGGATGGGAAATCGCTCACCTCGTAAGTGTGGCCCGTATGACCGGCAGCAGTCACGTCCCGCGCAATGTTAGATTGATCGTCCAGAGACTCTAGCCTCTAGTAGGCACTCGCAGACAATTTTCTAAAAATGGAAGCCTCAATTCTAAATCCGAAGCTCAAGATTCCTTTTTGGTAACACTTTCTTTGTACTTAGGGTTCAGAGTTTGGTTTTGGGGGTTGAAAGCTGCGACAGCACAATAGAGGCTCTAGGTACCCCCTAAACACTAAACCCCGGTACCCCCTAAAACCCAGACTGCTCAGCCTCGGATGAAAGAGCAGCCCCGACCTAAGCGCTCGAGCGTGTTTAGGGTTTTGGCCTTGGAATTGAGAGTTTGAGGATATAGGGCTCGGGGATCTAGGGTTAGGGTGTAGGTTGAGGAATTGGGGTTGGGGGATTTAGGGTTAGGTTTCCAAGTTTGGACAGGAGCCCGGGTTTAGGTCTTTAGAGGGCTCTGCAAAAAAATATTGATAAAATCTGAACCGGGCTTCTATGCGTGTTTACGGACGGTGGCGGCCGGGAAGGGGTATGGGCTGTGGCGATTCAGGTCTTGGGATATTGCAGGGCTTTGAAAATTAGAATAGGGTTTTGGCGCATATTATACTATATCTTAAAATCAGGAAACCCCAAAAAGCCCCTAATTACATTATGTGTGTATGGGCTCCCTGCAAACTCCCGACGAAGGCTGAGGCTTGCGAGAAACCCTAAACCCTTAACCCTGAACCGTATAAACTCCTACACCCTCAACCCGAACCCTAAACCCCAGTGTCAGGTTAGCACCCTAAACCCTAAACCCTAAACCCTAAACCCTTTTGCGTGGGTTAGATGCGGAAATTGGATCCCCGTCTTGTGGGCCCATTGAAGGGCCTTGGCTTCGGGAACTACTTACCTAGCAATTTAGGGTTTAGGGTTTAGGGTTTAGGGTTTAGGGTTTAGGGTTTAGGCTAGCAACTCCCGTGAACTCAATTGAGGCTTAGGGCTCGCCGGCGCGAATCTCATTTAAGTGCAACTCGGGTTAAGGTGGGTGTAGACGACTACCTCATATAGGACTTGTATAGGGACGAAGAGTTAAACGGGCCTTTTTACTAAGTATGTCGACTTCGTATTTCAATACTTATGTAGGGACTATGAGGGGGCCTTCCTGCCATGTATGAAAATCTTTGCAGTACTCGTGCCCAGAAGCATTGTGCGCTACTCGGTTTACAACAAGAGCTTTGACTGACCATGAGACTCCAAAGAAGACCAAAACACCCAACACCTCTCAACTTCAAGTGCCCAAAACAGATGAACTGATGATGGCGAGAATGCTATGTTGGCGAAACATCATAAGCCTAAGCTGAATGAAGTCGACCATGAACCACATAGGTTGCGATACTTGCATACGGTCCTTTCTGCGAATTTGTTGGCCTTCAGCCCCAAACTCAACCCCAACCCTAAACCCTAAACCCCAAACTCAACCATGCACCGCCCCGCAGTACTTTGATGAAATGAGCTCAGGGGCCATCCAGGCCTTGGGCCGATCTCGCCGGGGCACCAGGAAATCTTTGTCCTTCGCAGTGGTTTGGGGTCTAGGGTCTAGGGTTTATGGGTTTAGGGTTTAGGGTTTGAGTTTGGGTTTAGGGTTGGCGGTGGTGGTGCTGCCTCTATTGCTGCTGCTGGTGCTAGTGCCAGTGCTGGTGCTGTACAGTAGCTTGGAAAATACTT